TCTGCTGAAAGAGAGAAATGCGACTAGTGGATGTGCACGCAGAAGATGAAAAATTTAAAAGCAAATAAATAAATATTCCCAGCTCTGCAAACAAGGCCCTCTTATGACCCGTTTCACCCCACAGCAACCCAGCAGCTTCGTCTTTTTTAGCAGACACCAAAAGAGACTAAATAAATGATTTGGATCACTGTCATCATGTTGAATATAAACCTAAGAGGGTGCCTACGCCTCCAAATATAATCGAAAGGGACTCAACACAGTGTTTGATTGATGACTGGCTTTGTTAAGGTATTTTTATTCCCTTCTCTTATTCCCTTCCTTTTTTGATGTTTGGTTCAAAGGAAGACACTGAGGATGATATAAATATTCCACTCAAAAAAGATCTTGTCTATGTAACATTGGTTTTAGGGGAGAAGAGGGAATTGATTCCATTATCTTTGCTACATGCTGTGTATGTCATGGCATATTACATATGGCATTATTAAAGGAGACTCATCTGTTGTGCCTAAATAGAGCAGAGGTAAGACTAAATTGAAATTCAGATTAGCTATATCCTGCTGTTCAGAAAGCAGGGAATGAGGGCAATGTGAAATGATTTTCTCTCTCTGTCTCTTATGCAGCTGTCATGAAAAATGAACCTTATTGTCACTGTTGTTATTATTGGTTGTATTAGCGGTTGAGTAATCTGACAATTGGTTCTTTTTTAAAGGTTAAGCAATAAGAACGGACTCAGCTAAATAAGAACAAACCATGCAAAGCCGTTTAGTTTCCAAAGTACTTTACTGGAAAATGATGCTGAAGCCATTAAAAAGTACATTGTCATTGTTGAAACAAAACTTGGTATCCCCAGTTACATCTTTTTTCCACCGTGTCAAGATTTAATGATGAATGGACCAACAAAAATGCTCCAAAATAAGATAAAGTCTCCTTTTTTTGTTTTTTATTTTTCTACATCATTTGAACATAGTAGTTGTCCTTTACATTGTGTGAAAATTTCTTGATGAATGGTCCAATAGAAATGCTCCAGAAGATGATCCTTGGAATGAAATCTCTTTATATTAACTTACATTAACTTACATTAAAAGAATGCTTTTGCCCTCCTGTACAGTTACCATTTTGGATATACTTATTTTTCTTTGCAATCAGCTGTAATCTATGTATGTGTGTATGTGTGTGTGTGTGTGTGTGTGTGTGTGTGTGTGTGTGTAAACATACAGATAAATGTCACAACTAATTAGGGAAATTTAATTTTACTCTGGCCAAACTGAGCTTATAGATTGTGTGTGTCATGTTTTATGTTTGTCGTGATATGCTAAAGCAATAAGCCATCATGGGCAGTGCATTAGGTTGTCCCACAGCATGAAGTAAAATCAATGTAACACTCTAGTCACTGCTTTTATCATTGATGTGTGGTCATATGGGTGTATTATTTTTAGTTATTGAACATGTCACATTTTAAAAAAACCGTTCAGGGGTATTACATTCATCATTGCTGTCGCGTGAAAACCTTATATTTCTATTTTCACTATGTTCACTTTGCCTTGTGTTAAAATTTCATGGTGAACATACCACATGAAATGGTCAGAAATTATCAGGGAAAAACACTTGTTAAATTACCTTCCATGATAAGTTAAGAATTTTTTTTCTTTCTCCTGCAAAGTTACCGTTTTGGAGATACAAAGTTTTGTTTCACAACGGTTTATTATATAACCGTTGGACTGGGTTTCCCAAAAATATATATTAGCACAAAGATGATTCTAAAATGGTAGAGTGAGCATCACACTGAACTTTCTCTCTACCTCATTTGCTGATTCGCCAATAAACGGGTACAAAATTCTATAAAGTTCTATAAACTGCTGTAGCCCTTTACTCTGCAGACACAGTCTTATTCCTTTGTCATGTATGTTTGAGCTCATAGTGTTTCTCTCCTAGGCCAGGACTAGGAAACATGGATCTGGGTTAATGAGAAAGGCAGGGGTGTCATATTCCCATCAGTCTCTGAACATCTAACTTTCGTTGAATAAAGAGAGCTTCTCTATCAAAATATTTGTACTAGGTGAGCTCAAATGGCTCAAGGACAGATTCCACAATGAGTAAATGGCTGAGGGCCAATTGCTGGGCCTGATTCTGGCAGCGCTTAAAGGAACTGCATGCACTATTTCATTCAAATGGTATCAGCGAGTACATGATGCTTCCTTGCACTCTAACTGCAGTTAGGAGAAAAAGCCATGAATAGTGCGGAGTCATTTTCTGTTTGCTCTGAAACTCCTTTTTGGAGTCTAGTTTTAGCTTTGCTGAAGTGAATGTGGGCCCAAAGCACAATCTAAATTCTGCCTTGCACCCAGGATCCCAATTTAATTGCAGGGAACATTAAAATGGGACACAGATGCACACTTTCCATTCTATGCTACAGTTTAGCCACTGTGGAGCACTCCAGCTACCAGCAGCCTCTTTACTCACTGTTACTTATGGAGTGAAGTAATGAGTTGTGATGAGCTGTAAGAATCTTGGGACACATTAATTTTATTTCATTATAATTCCAAATTGATGGTTTGGGGATGAAACTCATTTCCATTTTCCATTTTTATGCAAATTGAAAAGCCAACTCCCCTTTGTTTGACACTTCAGCAATACCTTAAGTGCAAATAAAGTTGTTTTTGCTGATAGTAAAACATTTTGTTTCTTGATTCAGCGTCTACTACCAGGTACATCATATGCCATGGTATGCTCAGAATAGTCCTGGTGGCCCTTAAAGAGTCCCTTGCAGACATTTACTTTACTTCATTTTATGAAAAGGCTTGATCAAGCGAGTTTTACAGCTGGTAGTTGTAATTTGAAGAAAAGTAAGAGGGCGTGACCCCTTCAGGTCTAAGAGCTAATAACAGCCACTTGCATCATTTCCGCATTAAGATTTACATGCATCGCCCGCCATCTATATCTTTTACAGGCTTCACCGCCACTCTCTCAGGTTTGTCTTTGAAGAGGTTCCATGAGGATTATCCATACTGAAATACAGTTTGCATATGATAGTTTACCACTCTGAGGAAGGCCAACCTCAGAATAGCAAAACTGACTGTGAAGCACAAGCTCGCGTCACCTTGCTGCCTAAAAACCTGACTTTCACAAAACAACACAGTGATTAGCAGAGGTGTTACATTATGCATATTAGTCTGCATATTAAATCGGGCTATGCAGCAATGTGGGCTGTGAATCAAATATACTGGTAAAAATAAATAATAATGGTTTAGTTTTGGGCTAATTTTAGTTAGTCCAACAAATAATTAGTGTAATGGTTTCCACTTTTCTATTAAAATACAGTCCATTATGTTCCTAAAAGGGCCAACTAAAAAGGAAAAAACCTTTCTACATTCTACACAAAACCATGTAACACCTGGTTTGTATTTAAATGTATGTGTCTTCACAGAAAACATACTTGTTTGTGTTAAATATGCCAGATGCTGCAGTCTTGTTTTAGCAACTGGACTTGCAAAGTGTGTTTTTTTTATCTCTGTATCAAAAATGTACTGTATCATGGTGCAAAAATCATAACAATAAACAATAGCAAGTAACCAAGCAAACTACACTGTATTTTTTTTAATTGAAAGTAATGTTACCATAATTTCAAGGACTAATGTGTTGTCCATTATCTTTTTGGGGGGGTATTTTACACAGCATCCATGCTGGGTGAAGTTTTTCTTTCATGGTACAGCATGACAGGATTCCATAGAATTTGTTAAGACATCTTAACTTAAAATGTAAGCAGCCCATGCCTTTATAATTTGCCTGTGTTGAAACAGCTAACTCTCCCTGGTGCTCAAAGAACACTCCTCTGACTTTAATCTGTCTAGCACTCTTATATAAAGACATCAGTTGGGATACCGAGCTTCAGAAGTGTCAGCCAGCTCCTGCTTGGATGACTGTGCCCTCTAAAAAGAAAATCTGTAATATAGGCAAGCTGCTGCACTCCCTGCTTGTCAAGTTCGCAAATCAACAGCTGAAGTGCTGATGCAATGCTAGAATGATGAAGGAATGCAATAAATAAACTTCTTTCTTTTCTCAGCAGCAGTGACTTGTCATCTCTACAGAACAGTCGAGCTGGATCCATATCACCGTGTTGTGGTGTAGACATTTCTTTGCCACTTCTGTGAAAAACTCAGTATCACCCACCAGCAAATGGTGGGTCAGTTCAAATTGTATGTTTATGTCTGCAAATCTTTGCAATATACAGTGGTGATTTAACAGACTGTGAAGGAAGCTGTTCTCAGTTATTAAGTGCACAAAGCTTCCTGGAATTGTGGCAGCCCAGGGATCTCAACTTATCAGGACATGTATTTAGAAATGCAAAATGATTCACCATAAACCTGGAATGTCTGGTGAACAGTGTGTGATTTATGTGTTTATTTAAATGCTTAATCGTTTGTCTGAAAGAATGGAGGCAGACATGAACTGAGAAATGAGTGGAGAACCCTAGAATCATATTCAAACAAAATTCAGAGCCGTTTCTAAACGTGTCCCCTAAGTGACATCGTACTATATATATAACCTATATGTGACCCTGGTAAAGGTATAGTTACTTTAATATTAACTAAAGTATTAGTAAAAGTAGGCCAGCTATCAAAGAACAACCTGAGTAAAATGCATCAGGTCAAAAAAACCGGCATAAGACCTTATCACTTGTGACACTTTTGATCTAAAAAGAATGTCTGAAAAGTGAAAGAGGTGAGCAAAAGCAATTGTGAACATGTGAGGTGAAAGAGTGACATTTAAAACAGAAAGGTAGTAGGAACTAAAGGTGAACACTGAGTGGATTATTTTCCTCACGGTAAGAGTGTAAGTAGAAGTACTGTCGTTTGAAAACACTGAGCAGTACACATCCATCAAATCTGGAGTTTAATGCACCAGTAAAATATGAAGTGCCTCTGCTAGCTGGCAGGCAGCACACACACACGGAAGAGTCTGGTCAGCTGGTAGCAACAGTTGGAGAGGGTGTGTGTGTTTCTAGTTCACCCTCACGTTTCTCCGGGTCTGGAGTGCTGTGCGAGACTGCATTAGCCGTTTGCTCTTCGCTTTTGCCATCTTTCTGCTAACTTTCAGTGAAAGTGCTCCTCCTGCGAACAACCGAGAGAAACAGAGACCGCGGTCTCTGTTTGTGTGAACCAACCGCGGTTTGTGTGAACCAACAGAAGATGACAACGAAATGTGAGGTGGAAGAAGAAGCCGGAGTCGAGGTCCTGCTCTTGCTAGCCGGTGTGGACTGACTGACTGACTGACTGGCGGAGAGCAGCGAGTCGAAGCGTCGTCCGTTGGAAAGGAGCTCACGCACCTCAGAGAGAGAGAGAGAGATAGAGAGAGAGAACTGCCTGAGCCGCCCGTTGCTAAGTAGGCTAGTTCAACCGTCTTCTTCTCGGCAGCCTACCTGGAAGATCAGGTCTCCTCCTCTCGGTCCAGTCATGTCTTTTGAATGGCGAACCGTCATGTTCGGATTTGTGACCGTTCTGGCGGTGTTTCTGATTCTGGCTGATATATCTGAAGTGGAGGAGGAGATGGCGTAAGTATAGTTTGGAGTGCTCAGGACATTCAGGACAGGACTGACCTGTTTACTCTGTGTGGGTTACACGTGCGGTATTGTTAATGCTGAGCTGTTGCCAATTCAAGCCCTAAAAGCTCTACATTTTTTTGGCTTTAGTCGTTTTTATGTTGTGGTTTGAGACATGATAACCAGCCCTGCCCGTATATCAATCCTGCCTGCTCTTCTTTTTGGATAGTGTACTTATCCAGATCCATCGTCCCGCCGCACTTCAGGACAGCCGCTGCGCCAGTAAGTGGCTTCTTTGTGAGGCACAATGGCTGTTCGCTGTTCGGTTCTCTGTTCAGTTCTCCGTGGCGGTGCGGAAGCACGGAGGACCACTTAACCCAATACCGTGCCGTTCAGAATCGATTTAAAGGGAAACTCCACCAGTTTTTCAAAATTTCTGAATAATTCAGTCCTTGAGATGTAAATAGAGTTACTCACAGTGGTGAAATGGTTCATTGTAGAGACTCAGTTTTCTTTACAGTGGTGGTGATGGGAAGCAGTGGTTGCCGTGTCTACAGCACAAGTATAGCCATTTTATTTACTATCCAAAACCACCAGTGAACCTAGACGTGTCTTCTGAGTTTATATATGTAAAGTTGATGATGGTAAAATAGTGGAAAACTCTGAAAAAACCCTCAGTCCTGATTGGATTAAAATAAACGGATTCAAATACATTTAAATCCAAAACTTTATCACAAAACCATCATAAAACAATGTCTTAGACATCAGGCAGCACATTCATAACCATTTCATGCAATAACTTTTTGTGAGGGAGCTTTTAAAGGTGGACGTCTGGTTCCTATCACCACCACTGTGAACAATTCTGACTCTGCAAGTTTCTCTAGAACGGAACACCAAACCGCTCTGAATGACTTGGTTTACATTTCAAACACTTAATTATGTAGAATTTTTGGAAAAATTGGTGGAGTTCTCCTTTAAGCTTTCAGGAGTATGGCTGGATGATATGTTGTTTTTACTGGATATTGCTTTTCAGTTTTTGCGATGAGTATTATTTCCATGATCTAATTACCATAAAATAATGGGTGAGTGCAGTGTTAGTATTTTGATTTGGCTTAATTTACCTTAAATTCCACCATTTTTAAAAATTTCATTGATTATTTGAGTAATTCAGTGCTTGAGATGTAAAGAGTCTTTTAGAGTAGTTTGATGCGAAATGATTCATTGTAGAGAAACTTACAGACTCTTTAAAACTGACAGATTTCTTTACAGTGGTGTTGATAGGAATCAGAGGTCTCCATGTCTACAACACAAATACAACTGCTTTATTATTATCCAAAACAATCAGTGAACCTACATGTGTCTTCTGAGATTATATATGTAATGTTGATAATGTTAAAATAGGCATAAATCTGAAAAAAAAAAAAAAATTGCGCGGCACTATTTTTCCTTACAATGCCCTGCATGTGTCGCTCTGTCATAAATGGATTAAAATTAAATAATTAAAATACATTTTAAGCAAAAACTTTATCAAAAAATTATCACAAGACAATGTCTCAGACATCAGGCAGTGTGTTCATAACCATTCCATGTAATAACTTTTTGTGAGGGAGCTTTTAGAGTCATTAAACCTTTCAGACCTCTGGTTCCCATCACCACCACTGTGAACAACTCTGGCTGAGTGAGTTAATCTAGAACAGAGCATTTCATGTCAAACCACTTTGACTTTGTATACATCTCAACTTTTTTGAAAAATTGGTGGAGCAACTGCAGTGTATGTCATGTAACTGGACGCTTAAGATGGATGCTGTTTTGACAGGGCAGTTCAAAATGCATACATGAAATTTAAAAGCTAAATTTCCTTTCTGGAAATGCGCTGTTTGGTTTACAATACTGAGTAAGATTCCCGTTGGTGTAATTGTAAGAGAAGAAAATGGAACAAAAAGTCCAGTCGAAACAAACTGTGTCAGGTTAGTAAGACATGTTTTCATCATAGAGTAGGGGTACTCAGGAAGCATGTGTCCATGAACTTTACTGAAGGGACACTCCAGTCAAAGTGAAAAGAGTCATCACTGCTACATCTGCTGTAATCGGGCGTACTTATGTCCTGCAGCGGCATCTCAGTAGTCTCTACACTAAGATTTTCTGTTTGAACACCCCCTTTGATTATGTATTTCGAAGGTGAGAGGAACTCATGAGAACCTTTATCTACTTTGGGGTGGGCTTTAGGGGATGAGCTGCATACACAGATAGCTAGTGTTAGCGCTAGAAAGCCAAATCTTATTGCAGCCATGTAATTGTAATCGCTGTCTTTAAATCATTGTAGAGAATGGATTACTCAAATGACAGATATCATCAGATAATGGGGACAGCAAGGTAATAGCTAAAGTTAATAAGGTAGCTGGCTATCTACCTTGCCTCAATTTGGCTTCTTTTCTCTGTCTGAAAGGGTAAAAAATTGTCTCTGGCAATCATTTTGTGCTGAATAAACTGACAGTTTCAACAACCAAGGTTTGTTTTGCATTAATGCTAGCTTGGTTGTATTAGCCTATAGATTAGTGCCCGTGTGTCAAACACAAGGCCCACAGGTCAAGTCAGGCCTGTGACACAGTCGTATTCGGCCTGTGAAATTATTTTAATTTTCTATTCTTATTAGCCCGTTTCACCCTGAGATGCCCCCAGCATGCATTGCGGCATAGTGTGCATTCTGACCCCCTTCCCTCTACAACAATCTATGGGCCAGCAGTTACACAAAAAGAAAAGAAGCCTGGTGTCTAGTTCAAGCAAATAGGCAGTTTTAAAAAGAACTACCTAAAACATCCATCCATCCATCCATCATCTAAACTGCTTATCCTTCTGGGTCGCGGTGGGGTGCTGGAGCCTATCCCAGCTGTCATTTGGCGGAAGGCAGGATACACCCTGGACAGGTCGCCAGTCCATCGCAGGGCTACCTAAAACAATTTATTTTTATTTAGAATTATTGTTGGATGAGTATTAAATGCCTATTTTGCTTTAGCAGTTTTGGCATATTTCGAATAAACAATGGCCCGTTTGAGTCATGGCAAAATCTTAGGTAAAAATGACATAAAAACACAGATGGCCCACAGATTTGCTGAGATTTTTTTAATATGGTTAAGTTTGACACCCCTGGATTAGTGGCTATGGTAGTAGTTAGGATTGGTTGACACCACTGAGATTCCCACTGTTTAATGAAATAAGGAAAATGATGTAAAATTGTAAATTCTGTCAAATAGATGAAGCTGAACTAACGCTGCACTAATGACACAAACTTAAATATCAACCGATAACATGATATAATTGGAAAATATTGTGATACTGAATAATCAGTACCACTCTTCACTACTCAGAAATCAAAGGTTTTGGAGGATATGATTATTAAATGCTGTTGCATGAGTATTTATTAGCTAGTTAAAGTCCTCTCAAGGAAAAAATATAACTGGAAGCCTTTGTAGTCTGAGATGTCTTTTAAGGTTTTTGTAGTCATAGCATGCCTTAGCATTACACTGGAGAGTGTTGTCACTCCAAACCTGTGCTATCGTGGCTGAGATTTCAATGAGCTCCCACTCCCAGCACTGGATGATACTGTATACTCACCTGAAGTGTTTGTGGTTTCACACCACTGTGAAGCAAATAGTATTTTTTACTTTGCCCAGGAGGGATACAGGTTCTGATGTCTTTCCTCTGGCTGCTGCTGTCATTTTACTGTACTTAAGGAGGAACCCAGCTTTTGACCAGTTTTTTTGTGGTCTAATACACCTGACCTGACTCGTCAGTTGATTATTACACTCTTCACACTGGACTGCAGATGAACACCAGGTGCTTGGCATGGCACCCCATCTCCAATATATCCTACTTCAGCACCAGAGCAACCTTAAAGAAGTCTAAGAACTCACTGAGCTCACCATGTTTAACTAATTTGACCAAATGTGACCCTCAATGGACAGATTTCACCTCACTGACATGGCAACACATTTGAAAACAGATATGACATGATACTGTGATTTTCTCTAAATTCTACTTCCAAGCAAACATTATCGGAGCAACCATTCCTATATGCTTTGCTTCTTTCACTCTAAGAACTAATCCTTGGCATCATCCAGTGCACGCGCTCAACCCCAGGGCTCTTCGACAAATGCCAGACGCTTTGTGGTTTTGTTCCACTCTCAAGTGTGTCCTGCTTGCTCTCCAGTGCCCATTCATGTCAACTCAGAAGACTGTGGTGGGCGGTTTGAGAGAAACTAGAGGATTACTGTTGATTTGTTACTGAGAGCAAGAGCGTGAAGATGGGGTGGGGGAGAAAAGAAAAGAAAGAAAGCAATTTGCCTTTCCCCGGCCGTGAGCGAGATCCACAGCCGAAATCCGTCAGCTTAGACAAATAGAATCTTTGCAGGCTTGGAGCATACAGTGTAAGCGCTTGAGCTGAGATACTGCTTAGTATTTAGGGGAAAATAACTGCGAAATCGAGCAGCTTTTGACATCATTCTTGCTTTGGATTTGAATGGTGCTGTATAAACATTTTACATACCATCACGATTTTGGAAAAAGCTTATACTGTCTGAAGAGTGTTATGCTTGAATTCACTTACTTGTGTGGGATTACATGGCATAGTTTCTTCTCTATAACATGCCTAAGTGTCTAACTCACATGGGGGACTCATCCTTAGCTTTGTTTGCCAGAGCTGTAAAGCCCACATTTCCTAATTTGGATCTTCACGCCCTATGTGCTAGGTGTTAGACAGATTAGATGGCATTTCTGATCTTCTCTGCCGAGTTATTTATTGGCTTCTGATGCTGATTTGTCTTTCAAAATGAGGTACTGTGTCTAGGGTTAATAGAAGAGCAGTAGAAAATTGTGAAGTTATTAAAAATCAAATCAACTTTTATTCACAGAATTTCAGAGGTGTTCAAGATGTTTAGACTTTGAAGCTTGTTCTCAAGTCAGTGAGAGTGACAAGTGTTGCAATCAAGGTGCTGATGTGATGATAGTCACACGGTTCTGATTGTGAAAATGGCACTGTTTTATCAAGTAGGGATGGCAGTTTTTTAGAAATTCTGTCTGTTCATTATAATTTGTAGTGAAATAAAAATAGCCTTTTCTTTCTGACACAAAACAACTTTCAGCACAGCCGTTACATAAAAATTATTTCCATCCATTCATGTGCTTAAACACTAGAGTAATAAACGCATGATTCGCAATACCGAATTAAGGTCCCAAATTAATGTGTTTATTCACATTAATGTCTATCCTGCTTCTTGCTCAAGTCTGCCTCAGAGAAAATAAAACTGAAGTACAAGCGTTCTCAGTCTAGAGGAATAATAATTTGTTCTTTACTCAGCAAGGTCATTAGAGCTGCCTGACCTACATGTACAAACTGTTAATTCAGTGTGCTGTTTTATGTTATGCAAATTTGTAACAAGTTTATTGAATAATAACTGTTCTGCTTTCTTCTCAGCAGCACTTGGGGCTCTCAGAAGTTTCACTTGTACGGCATTCTAACTGGTTCAAACAGGTTTGTAAATTAGCTGGTTCAGTGGTCATACTGGTCTCGGTTTAGTTCAAATATTAGCTGACTTCCAGAGATGGATGCAAGAAAAGCATTCAATGGCATGTTTACCCAAACCAATACTCAAGGCCCAAACATCTGTACATTTTCTGGAAATCTCACTTATCTTTATTAGTCCATATTGAAAAGTAGTGAAAACTATGGGGTTCAGACAATATTATAGGCATAGTGCAATTTATTCATGGTGGTAGAATATATTTTAGCTTTTATTTGAACTCTTTAAGAAGTCAGATGAAAGACATCTAGATTCTATGTCACATCACAGTACCAAAGGCACTGGTGCACCTGTATGAATTCCTTTCTCTAATCTTCTGCTCAATATTTAGGGAGACAAGGTTAAAGGCTATTCCCTCTCCTATAGCCGGCTCCAAGGAAGACTCTGTCTCTCCATCACCTTCTTTTTCAAAGAACAAATTTAGCAGTTCCTCTACATCAGAATGGATGTTCAACAGGACTCTGTCCAGCATCATCAGGTAGACAATGTACTGGAATTTAATCTATCTAGTGACCAACACATTTAAATATTTACAGTGCAGTAATTTATTTACAGTAATTTATAATTTATAATGTACAGCACTATGCAAAAGTCAAAGACCAGCCTTTGTTTGTATAATTTAGAGTCAACACGACTTCAGTTATTCATTTTTCAGCAGAAAAGTTTCCCAAACCAGAATTCAAAAATTTATCAAAAACTATAGAGAAATGGACTCCTAACAAAGTGCAAAACCTAGCAGACCACCAAAACTGTTACCATGAGATGAACAGCACTTAAAGCTTTCATCTTTGAGAGAGAGGAAAAAAAAAACAACCTCCACTCGTACTTCAGATCTGGAAAAAAAAATCAATTTTTATTTCACATCTTTCCACTTTGAGAAGACAACTCAGAGCTTCGGGTCTCAAGGACTGTGTATCTGTAAAGAAGCTGCTACTGAGAAAAGCAAATAAAACAAAGAAGCTGCTGGTGTTTTCTGAACAATGGACTGGTCCCCCAGAGCCCAGACCTCAACATCACTGAATGCGTTTGGAATTAAATCCTCTTGAGAGGGAGAGCTTGCAACCAACTTCTAAGACTGAGCTTTGGAGGTGTTATCTCTGCAGATTTCTTTGAAAACTGAAAACTTTCTTTGAAAAACTGAAAGGATGCTGAAAAGAATGGAAGCTGTAATAATGTCAAAGGACTTCTGTGTAATTATTAAATATATTTTCTACTTTATTTCCTGGCACTGGACAATGAATACCTTGTACTTGATGACTATTTTTGACTGGAAATTAAATGAAGAATGGTCTCTGACTTCTTCACTTTACTGTACATGCATGACTAAATGTTAAACTTTCAAAGGTGATAAAGTATTATCTGTTTGCCTTAAAGGTGTTCTGTTTGTGTTTATGTCCTTGTGTATCATTCACCAAATGAAGCTTTATGATTTTTTCATCAGGAGGAATGTTTTAAGGTTCTTGGATGCTGAGAGAGACATCTCTATCCTGAAAAGCACCTTCAAGCCTGGAGATGTCATCCATTACATTTTTGACCGTCAGAGCACCACAAACATCTCAGAGAACCTGTACCGCCTTCTACCCACAGCATCCCCCATGAAAAACCAGCACTACGAACAGTGTGCAATTGTAGGGAATTCTGGGATACTGCTGAACAGCAGCTGCGGAGCAGAGATTGACTCTTATGACTTTGTGATCAGGTAAGACACCCTGTTCTAAAGGGTTCCTTATTCTCTGTCATACAGCTTGTCTCATTTGGAGTAGTATTGTGGTAAAGGACAAACCAAGAACCAAGAAAGTAAAATGTCTTTGAAAACTAGTGGGAATCAATTAGCACAATTCTTCTGTGCCAGCTGCTTCCCACTAGATATCAATTATTCATAGTGATGTTTTGGGTTTTTAACTAAGATTTTAAAAAGCTTGAGTTTTACATTAAGACATCCCTTCTCACTCACGCTAATATCTGACTAGCTCTTTAGAGCTTTTGTCAGAACTGAAGAACCTTCTTGTGCTCCTCACAGTTTTTGAAATGGCTGTTATTACCATTACTCTTGCTGACTTGTTACTCTCTCTGATGAATTGCTGGCTTTCAGAGCTGAGCTGCAATACAGCAATTAGGTACCTGCTGAGCAAATCTGACATTTTGAAAAGCCTCGGCTGTCCTCCAGAAATTTTAATGAGACACTTCTCGTTTTCCTCCAGCTTTCTGAAAGCAACTTAAGCTTTATTTGCTTAGACAGTTCTATGCGCTGCTTGAATGTACCCTCTCGCTCTGCCTGTGCAAGTCTTGTTTACTGCAGTTTTCTGTGTGTAATACTTACTCGGATTTGTTTCTCATACCACTCATGCTAGACTAAAGTGATTTGCAAAAGAGGGAGAATGTGTGTTCAAACTGCTCTTGGAGCGTGTCTTGGTGAATTTCATACAGTGAGGGGAAACAAGTATTCAAACACTTTTATTTTTGTTATTTAATATGCTTCCAGTGCATATATCCACTTCAAATTAAAACACGATGTCTTGAATTTCTACTAAAATATGAACAAAAAATATATACTTACAGCATATTAATGATGTGTTTTAGAGAAAATGTATTCAGATACCACAAATTAACAGCATTAGTACTTTGTTGCAAAGCTGGCAATTAAAGCTTCTAGCCGTCTATGGTACAAAGTATTCAGCTTTTTGTGTCATTGTGGTTGAATTTTGGCCCTTTCTTCTTCACAAACTGGCTTCAGTTCCCCAAGGTTAAGAGGGTCCCTCTGACTCACAGTTTCAAAATCCTCCATAAATGTTCAGCAGGATTCAAGCCAGGAGATTGGATAGGCCAGGGGTGATGGAGATCTTCCACCCTGGAGAGCTCCACCACACACCTGGCTATAATATTCAGAAGCTCCTGAAGGTCTTCATTACCTGGATCAGGTGTGTTAGATTAGTGTTGGAGTTAAACTCTGCAGGGTTACTAGATCTCCAGGACCAGGACTGGGCACCCCTGGCCTAGGCCATGCACACAGATTTGGCCGTGTTTGGGGTTGTTGTCTTGTTGAAATGCCCATCTTGTTGCGTGAAATCCCAACTATTGGCAGCATCTTTTACAATAACACCAGGTGCACTTTTTCACTTGAACTTTTTTTGCTGTAGCATGTCTATCTTTCCATTTCTAAACATATCTTTGTTTCTGCTTTTTTTACTTTTTTGTTAATAGTTGTAAGTACAAAGTCATAAGACACTATGTGTGTAAATGTGTGAAGTGGACATAAGCACTGGAAGTATATTAAATAATATTGTGTATGCTAGGTTAGATACAGTGAGGAGAAACAACTGTCTAACCTGGCGTACACAGTGCCCTGCGGGGCCTCCCAGACTGCAGTGATGGGAAGGATTAGTCAAACCCTGTTGAACCCTCTCTCCCATGTAACATGATGCCCGACTCCTGTTGTTATTACCGGGGCTTTCGTGGAGCCTGGGCCACAGACTCCAGTGGCCCTTATGTGTGTTCGGCATGACCTCTCAGTGAGGGCAACACCTGAGTGTGTGTGATGGAGAAAGAGAGCGAATGAAACAGCTTAGCTGGAGCAGTGAGTGGGCAACTAAGAGAGCAGAAAGCGTCTCCCAGGTATTGAGGCAAGGTGATAACACCCTTCCTCCGCTCTTAGCCTCTGGTTTTAATGCCATTTCGGGGGTGCTTTGATGGTTTTGGGGCTTTCATGGTGAGATGAGTACTAAGAAGCAAACGCAGAGCATTATGTGAGTGGATTTCTTGATCTTCTACCTGTAAGATGGGGCAAACGAGTGTATCTTCTGAAGCACTGCTCAAAGTTCGCAGGTTATTTCATCAGGCTTATGTCATTAATATTAAATAGCCCCTGCTATGGTTCACTTGCAATTAGCAACATTAAACGCCTGAAAGCATAACTGTAAAGCAGTCTGTTGCTATTTTATATTCAAATATTTTAATGTATGCAGTGAATATATACAGTTTTAACTGTATATGTTAACACAGTTGTCACAAGTTGTACAGCCTGAAGACATTTATCACTAATCTAATATAATATTAATTAATTAATTAATGATCATAATAATTAGACAATCCACATAGCACCGTAAAGTGGTGCTCAACAATTAGCCTATGTGTACGTGGGCATTTTGGTGCCTGCAACATATGCTCATCATGCCTACAGACACTGGTTAAAAATGAATTTATTCATGTGGTACCATGTCCCTTGAGATTTTATCTTAGCTAGAAAACCATGGCTGAATTAGTCAGTTATAGGAGCCTTAAACAATAGTTTATAGGGCTAACATACACATAAAAAATTACACATACTAAACTTTTTTAATAGTAAACACTAAAACGTGTTTATCCCCACTGTATCAGAAAGACATGTAATTTTGAACACTCCTACAGTTTTACACTGTCTCAAACTCAGCCCTCTCATTTATTCGTCATGAACAGAAAATGTAATTATCTAGGAAAAACTGTTCTCTGCCTAGCTAGCTCAGTCTTGTAATTTTAAAGGAACTGCATTAGCCGACCAATGAATCTTGTAAAACCAGTGTTGCTTGAATATATAATGCTGGTTATCTCACCATCATTAGCAGATAAATATACCTTTCCAGCTAGCTGACCACTAGGTCAGTGATCACAAGCCCTTCCCCTGGAGATCTACTTTTCTGCAGAGAGATCTTCATTCGCATGAAGCCCCATTTTCTAAAAGAATCAATTTACCTCAGTTGTTTTGGTAGCCTTAAAGGAAAAGTGACTTAAAACTACTAAAAAATAAAAACAGTAATTCCTCCTTAACATACTTTTTATTAGCCTTTTCTGTATCAATGGCACTATCATGTAAATTTGGACAGCATGACATTTTGTTGTGTACTTAACAATTGGGGTGTAACAATGCACTGTGATATCACAACACAGAAATGTGACAATGTGTATCATTGGTTTGACTATGTATCATTGCACTATGTAATATTTTTTTTTGTTAAAGAAGTGGCATTACTGATTCAGGTGGAAAAAACACACAAATACAGTGTCAGTACACTGCTGTGAATCACCCTGAAATAGTCATTTAAAAGTCAGAGGTATTGGGTTGGATTTCCCAGGAGTTTTTCAGACCACATCATACGTCACACACAGGTCCAGCTCAATGCAACATCAAGATTATACTGAACATATGATAATAGTAGATAATTCACTTACATCCTCAGACGACACATCATTCACCAAAGCCCAGTCCTACAAAATATTCCACTGCATGTTGAGTGCAATTCCACATTTCACCTGAGAGGTCTCCAAATCCCCAAAACTTACGTAGTGTAGCTTTAATTTTGGCATTGAATGCAGTTGCATTGTTAGAACAGCAAAGTTCGCTAACAGCCAAAACCAATCAACAGCCCTCAGCAGCATGTTCATTAGTAAGATGTGCATCAACTTGGAAACAATCATAATTTTTCTTCATTGATATTTGGTTCAAAATGTCATTACAAGATCATGAACCTAGTCAGGAGCTAAATGTATCATTACACTGCTACTTAATATGGTGTGGCAGTTGCATAAGTACAGTGTGATTGCTGCTCCTGACAATAAAAAGAACAGCCACATCACACCCCATTAATGATAAAAAGCCATTATGCAGTCCACTGTTCCAAAGTTATAACAAAAAGTTTGACTGAGTGCACGTAGGCTACTGTGAGTTGTGTTTTCGTGCATCTGTGTTTATCATGGAATGTGTGTGCTTTATGCATTTTAGGTGTAACCTGGCCCCTGTGGAGGAGTATGCAGAGGACGTAGGCCTTCGCACCAACTTGGTGACCATGAACCCATCAGTGGTACAGCGTGCCTTCCAGGACCTGAATAGTGAGGAGTGGAGGCAGCGTTTCGTGCAGCGGCTGCAGGCTCTCAGCGGCAGCGTACTCTGGATCCCTGCCTTCATGGCTAAAGGCGGAGAGGAGAGAGTAGAGTGGGCCGTCCGCCTCATCCTCTCACACACAGTCAATGTGCACACTGCCTTCCCTTCCCTGCGACTTCTCCATGCTGTTAGAGGGTATGCTTGTGTGTGTGTGTGTGTGTGTGTGTGTGTGTGTGTGTGTGTGTGTGTGTGGGTGTGAGAGAGATTTCGTGCTCACCTGTGTACCTAGAGGGGCATGCACTCAGCAGCTTGATCAGAGCTCTGGCTATTTTTACCTCTGGCTTTAACGCCACTAACACCTTGAATAGGATATGGGGATGTACTTAGCACCGAGTGGAAGGTAGCTCCACATGCAAAGCAAGCAGAAGTAGCCATCAGGGTTACTAAAGTTTCTTAATTGTCATTTGTTTATATATTTATTATTTTTTTCCCAGTATTTTAAGCTTAGAAAATAAGTAGAAATTGTACATAAGGATTTGCAGAAATATTAAGATATTTATTAGATATTTAAGTTTGTTCATAGGTAAACTTTAACTTTTATAAAATCAGCATTGAAAAAGTACATGTTTTTCAGTCCTAGTACTTGTTTTGGTAACAACAGTTTTCATTGGTAACAGTTCTCATTTCATTGGTAACAATTAGTGATGCACAAATGGAATCTGACAAAATTAGAATGGACTTTGGCTCCAAACACGCACTCAGCCAATTGATTATTTTGATTTTGGCCGATCTGTGTTACAGTATTATGATGGTAATAATGTGAGGCAGGTAAGCGCACTTGATAAGCAGTATTTAAATGTTGTTGCTACACCTGTGCCAAAATGTCAAAGCGTATAGTAAAGTTAGTTCCCAGTAGCCTCTTACTTTAAATGTAGCTATTTATATAATTCATGTTATTTAAGTCAGCAGCTAATTTTCCATTTAATAATTTAAAATGCCAGCATCATCGATGATTGACAAGTAACCTGTTGGAGATGTGTGAAAGGTGATAATCGCTGTTTTAGGAAAAGTATTTTAGTGTTAAACAGCTTGTAAATATGTCAAGACAAGTTAAAGTTTATTTATATAGTGCTTTTTACAACCGGTGTTGTCAAGCAGCTTTACAGAAAAAAAAAATCCAGGTCCGAGTCCCCATGAGCAAGCCAAAGGCGACAGAGGCAAGGAAAAACTCCCTAAGAGGAAGAAAGCTGTTATGTATAATATGTTGGGAAATTGGGAAATTGTGGAATACTTGGGTAATATACATGTACCAATAGTCTGTTTTTTCTGTTTGAGAGAGAGAGAGAGAGAGAGAGAGAGAGAGAGAGAGGTTTGTTAAGAAGCTGCCCATTAGTTCTCTCTGTTTTGCATGCACTGTAATTCTAGCTTTACCGCATGCCTTCCATTCTACTTTCCTTACTTTCTTGAACACTTTACAAACAAGTTTTGTTTGAGTGAGGGTAACCAAGCCAATTGTTTTATTTACTTCTTCTGTGAAAACATTAAGTTAAAATGGAGCCTTAAAAAAAGGCTATAGTAGAGTAAATTCCCCACTGTCTCTGCTCTTTGTGATTTGAGGAGTATAATTTGCAGTCTTTTCTGTACAGCTTAATTGTGCCGGTGGTTAGTTGAATTATGAAAACTCTGCTGTAACAACAGACAATGCCTGTTGCATGTGGGCATGGTTTTGAAAAGCGGCTGCAGTCTAAAGTTTCTCCAGCAGGGAGCGCTATTAGCATGCATGTCACAACAAACCTGCACCAGAAGAAGCTCATGAATGCACATTTCCTGTAATGTTTGTTGTAATGACAGATGAAGAAGTTTTCAAAAGACGTTGAATTAATATTATATTATTTAATATGTGGTTTTACTAAAGACCCTTTCCACGCATTGATGAAACCCCTAAAAACTATTAATCAAAATTACATATTTTGAAGTTATTTCCAAGACAGTGCCTTCAAAGTTGCTTAGATTTAACTGTACACCTTTGCCTTCATTCAGTATGCACAGATCTATGAATATGCAAAGGCTACAAATATGCAGGGCTTTCTGCCAGAAAGCAGCTTTCTCCATGTTCCATATGTACTTCAGTTAGCTAACCTTACCTTGCTAACGTTATACTAGTAGCTTATGAGGACAACCTTTACTGTGACACACTTTATCCATGAACAAGCTCAAAGTCATGATCTGTTTGTCAGAATTATCATAATGAATTTAGCCATCATTTGATTCAGCTTAGCTAGCTGGCAAACTTACTGAGTAATGTTTGCCCTAACTTTGTTTGTCAGCATCCCAAAGTCGTATAAATTGTCCTGTCAGTATTTGGCATGAATCATAATGGACCTTGTAAGGCTAATGGTGTCCAACATTATCTAGCACATTGCAGATTTGTTACGTGGCTGAGGTCAGTTTCTTATTCGTCAGCTTCTTGTTTGAATTTTCCTGTTCCACCATAAATGGTGCAGCAGTTACATTCTGGCACCTCAGGCCTTCTTGTTTGAATTTTACTGTAACTGCTGCACCTTTTAAGGTGGAACAGGAAATTTGAACAAGAAGCTTGTGAATAAGAAGCCGACTTCAGCTTCATAGATTTGTTGTACACAGTCAACTGTTAAACACAAGAAAAAATAAACTTACCGGTTGACTCGTACTCGCTGGGTCCTCAGGATGAATGGATGGAACAGCGACTAGCTTCAACATAAGTTTAGTGGCAAACCCCATCTGTTTCTGAGTAAAATATACAAAATAGTCATCTGGAAAATGATACTGCAAACCTCAGTTTTCTCTGCAAGTTTGGCTGAACAGTTCGATGTTTCCAAATAAACTGCACCCATTTCACTCTGATTTTCAGATCCTTTGGTAACATATGATGGCTCACATTTTCTCCATTAACTTTTTATCCTAAAACAGAACATGTCTCTGCCATCATTTTGAAAAAAAAGTGAAACTTAGCTTGTAAAATAGCTACACCTGACTCTTACGCGTTTCCGTTCACCTTATTATTATGCTAATGAAATGGGAAGCCCCACCCTGCCAGTGGACAGGATTGGTTCCTTAGGTCTGTGATGTATGAAAGCCTGGCTGTCTGAATCTGCCTTTCCGAGACTGTCACTGATGCACTGCAGTTTCAAAGCAGAAATACTCAGCCATGGCGTTGACTGCTTTTTTCACTCATGATGTCTTTAATCATTTAAAAGACACCACTTGGACATGCTGACAAGTTTAAAATCTTGAGGGGATCTTTAAAGATTTCCATTAAAACAGTTCATGTTAAAAAGTTGGTCAAAGCCGCAGCAGACCGTGTGACAAGAATATTATTATAATAATTCTTTTTAGATGTCGCCAAGGCCTTTCATGTGCTCATTTAGTTCACACAGTGTGAGCTTCAGGTAATGAAAATCTGCAAATTTGGATGTAAAGAAATTAGAATTGCCGTAAAAATTCATGATTGGTTCATCCCTAGTAATAACCCTGGTAGCAATGCATCTTTTCAGTTTTCCATTTTTATTGTGAACATGTTTAAGTAGTTTTCTCTGTTATGTTTTCCTAATATTTACATAGTTTCAGTTGCCAGTGACAAAGGGAGTGAGCACTGTATGTGCACAGTAGCTCCTGTTATCAGCTCCTCTATAAAAGGTCTTTGTCAGTGTGGTCAAGCAGATTCCCTCCCTCTGGGCTCGCACATCTCCGCTTCTTCCCCAGTGCCTTTTAAATAGCATGACCTTCGCCTCCTCCACTGACCTCTGCATAAATGGCTTCTATCAAGATCTAATTCCAAGCTATGTGTGTTGGACTGGCATTGCATTTGTTCTCCACACTACGTACAAAGCAGAGGAGGCCCCCTCTCCCACATCTTTCCTGATGGTGTTGAGAGCCTGATTTGGTTTGTGTTTCTTTGAGATCCGTTTTAATGCTCCATTCTACAGATTCCATTAAAACGTGCTGCATCAATATGTTGTATTATCAGTTAAGCAGTTAGGGTAATTCATTAGTTCATTTCTTTGGCTAATTATCACGCTGCACTTAACACACGATCATTTTCATTTAAAATGTGCTGCTGGCACTCTTTAGATCTGCGACGAGGTCACAGCTGGAAGCACACGCATTTAGATCTTCAGATTTATCTATGGACAGCCAAATGATAATGATCCTAGTGGTAACCCACATTACTTAAACAACAGGACCCAGCAGGAAATGAAACAAATGCAATTAAAATGGCGGGGAATAGCCCTTAATAGCATAGTCTGACTTAAGGCAACCGTTGTGCAAGGCAGTTTATGAGCTGCAAGTAAATGAAGGAACCAGATGGAGGGTCATAATGTGGGACCCCAGACACACACACACACACACACACACACGTTTAAACCCTGAGTGAATGGCACCACATGTAGACAGTGAGCGCCTCATTGTGGAATTTACTCAGGGATGAATGAATGTTTAAGACTAGAGATGGGTCAGTGCTTCTTAAAAGATGGTCAGCGCTCAGTCCCATTCCTTTACTCAGAACACTGCTGCCATCAACTCAGCCCTCTTTGCATACATCCCCACCCTTGTTTCCTTAGCTCCCTTTGTGTAGGTGGAATGTAGTTGTCCACATTCTGAAAGCACTCAAACATGTGGTTCCCAACCCTAATAAAACAAACCTGCGGCTGATGTTCAGATGCCCCTAAAGACCTTAATTAGCTGGATCGAGTGTGTGAGGGATTAGAATAGAACTCTGAGACTCCAGATGCAGTGGTGGGCAACCATACGTAACAAATATGATTCATTTTATACTGTGTTATTCTTGGGTGTTCAGAAGATATTCCAAAGCTGGATCATGCTTTGTATCCATCACTATGGATGCTGAATTATACAGCGCTTTCTACTGTCATTTTAACTAATCCAAAGTCCTGCCAAAACAAAGACAGCTTTCTCCGTCACTTAATATCACAAACAAACTCTAGATCAAAGTCAGTCTATTGTTTATCAAAGGCCTTGCCATGCCCAGCACGCTGAGAAAATCCAATCTTGTTGTGATGCTGTTGTTTAAAGGGGAAGGAAAAAACAACAGAAATACATGTTTTTTTGAAAGGAAGGTGTATCAGTCCTTGTACCTATAAATGTAGTATTTTGTTGCACACGTTGCTGAGATAATAGTACGAGGCATAGCACATTTAATTGGGTAAGATTACATTAACTTAAATATGCTTTCTCTGTATTTTTCCACTCTAGTATACCACTGAGTCTTCTCCTATTGTGTTTGATGACTTTACCGGTTATCAGTGGGGTTTCGATCAGGAGGCTAGTATAGCTGTTACAAACGTTTGTTTCTGTGGTCAGTGAGCTGTTTTTTTCTGTGGATCTTGAGGAATGCTTTGGATCACTGACCTGCTTAAACCCTGTTTTAGACTCCTGGCAATGGCAGCCAGATTTTGCTTTAGAATGGAATTCAGTCCATGATGCCTAGTGCTCTAACAAGGTTCCCAGGGACTTTGGAAACAAACCAGCCCACTACATAACATGTGAATAAGCAAGCTTGACATGTGCGTCACTTCATATTTATATCTCTGAGAAACACGAAGTCATAGATGGTCACTTGAGAGTCTATAAAAACCCAGATGGACTTTGCAAAATGAAAAGAAAAATGGAGTAATATAAATAGGGAAATATTTGATTTTGTTTATATAAAAAATCCAAGGGTGCTATTAATTGCCTTCATTAATTTCCCTTTACCATTTTGTGAGTGTAAGATCTAGCTGGTAAAAACCTAGGACATTTTGAGGGATCAGTAAATATTGAGTCTATTGTAAAAACTTATAAAGCTTATAAAAGGAAGGACTTTTACTGTGCAGTGTGTCAACTGGTGATAAATAGGGTTTCTCCTGAATATGTTGTGTATGTAGGTGTAAACTGAAGTATGCATATGTATGCAAATGTTTAAAAATACTGCCTATGTAAAAAGCTAAACCATAACAGTGTTACATAAGAAGAGCAGTTACCTTACCATTAGGCAATTAAAATGTAACCTGTGGTCTCCCCTTGTGTTGCCCACAGGCACAAACCTACTCCCTCAGAAGGCTGTATGTTTTTTAGCAGTGGGATGTCTTGCATTAAGAGTGTGTATTAATGCATGAATATGAAAAACATCCCTCTAACATCTGCTTTGAAGTCAGAATCCAGTCAGTGATGGAAGAATCCGGTCAGTGATCTACAACCTGCATAAAACATAAGACTATGTAAACTGTATGCTGAGACTACATTAAGTGCTGTCAGTCATTTGAGTTTTATGTAGAAAAGTTTCACTGCTCACTGGGGCCTCTAACGAAGCAGGATTTCTTGCTTAGCCAGTGAACTTTAAGCTTAGTTTGTTCTAACCCTGGATTTTCTGTCTCATAACAGTGAATCACTTTTTACGAGGCTACATCACCATGTCAGCTTCCACTCAAAAGAATTAATCCACAAGATTGTTTGACTTACAAACTGAAAGTGTGTACGCATTAAATAACTGAATTGTGTTCTCTTTAAATTACTGGTTTACATATAATGGATAAAAAGGAAGGTACATTTCAGTGATAAACTGTTTATGTTGATCCAGAGAAAATTCCATTTCAGTTCAACTCAAATAAATTGCACTGAAATGTTTGTGTGTTTTAATGATATGCTGCAAGCCTGACCTGCTCTGAGACAGGCTAAGTTTGGGATTTGTGAAAGTGGACCCATCTGGTCAATTTGTTCTTCATGATGTTTGCGTCAATTGTGAAGAATATATAAGCAAATCATGCAAAAATATAAGGAAATCATACTAGATAGATATTAAGAATATAAAGTAGTTAATAAACCAAAAGCACCCATTCGTGGTGTTGGTAGCGACATTGTTGCTTTTTTACTGTTATAAATGATTTAGTTTCTACATGTTTACGTCGGTTGAACAATTAGCCATTTCATGCGATTGGCTGTTTGTCATGAACGTTGCGATTAATCATAACTTGAGTATATGAACCTGGGTTAACAGGGAAAGTTGTTAACTGCTTTTGTAAAACGAGTTAACTACAGTTCACTACAGTATTCTCCTGAAACTTTGCTGGAACCCTGTATAATTTGAGCTTGCTTCATGAAACAGCCCACAGAGCACTAGTTATAAAGCCTGTTGGGCTCATATATGCCTAATTAACTACTGTGTGCAGTATTGTAGTCGAGTGAACACAGTGCTGAGTCTGCTTGCTCTGTCTTTCCTAAGGTACTGGCTGACCAACAACGTCCAGATCAAGCGGCCCACCACCGGCCTCCTTATGTACACCATGGCCACCCGCTTCTGTGACGAGATCCACCTCTACGGTTTCTGGCCTTTCCCTCGCGACTCCGAAGGCAAACCGGTCAAGTACCATTACTATGACACGTTGACTTACCAGTACACATCAAGCAGCAGCCCCCACACCATGCCCCTGGAGTTTAGGACCTTGAGCATGCTACACAGGAAGGGGGCCCTGCAGCTACACACAGGAACCTGCAAGCCCCCCACCTGATCATCGGAAGCTGTTGTGGACTGTGTTTGAGGTAAATAAACACTATGAATGACCATTTAAAATCACCTGGGATGTGGTTTGGAAAGAGGTGGCACTCTGGGTGTTGAAGAAAGAGCCTGTTGATAAGTTGCTCATACTGAATGTGTCAGGCTTCAGGGAAAGTGCTGCTTGGCTGTATCTGAGAATGCACAGTATGTAACATAAGGGAAATGGTTGTAAAGGTCAGCTGAACTGCTGAAAAGGTCTTTTAAAGGTCAATAGATGTTTCTTTTTCTTTCCTAAATTATCATCTTTTTCTGCATGCCTCAGTTGGATACCACTCAATAATGATTCAGTCACTTGTACATGATTACAAGCCATTTGCATCTACAAAGTGAAAATGTCATAGCTAATTTCTGTTCTTGAAAGGTTACGGCTATGTGCAATATTCAGATCACGTTTGGTTTTTTGCATTTACCTGTTAAAATGAATATGGTTGGATTACTACTCAAGGAAATGCTCAGGGTTGCATTTCTGACAAGCGTAACAGCTCACTTTACCATATAGCAATGCCTGTTCTGCTTCTAGGAAGCCTCCATATAAGGGGTTAAACGTCTCAATACATTTGACTGAACGTCTTGCCTCTGGTAAGTCTGGTAAGTCAACCAGTAGTCTGGTTGAGGCTATTCTTGGTGTTGCAGGGCATTCGTTCAGCCACAAGATGGAGGCATATTAATGAAACAAGGAACATTGAGTTGAGTGCCATCCGATTATGGCCTTTTGTTTTATTGTCTCTTTTGCTGTTAAAAAGTGCCCATTTTGTTTGATTTTGTGAGCAGCTATTTAATGCTTATGTTACTGTGTACTATGAGAATGTAAAATATTCTTTGTGTGTCCAAAACTGGCAGTTATGACTTTTATTTTGATAGTTAATGCAGTTGCATTAACAGTTACAGGCTCATTTCTATAACTTGTATATTATATGTTTAAGTATTTTCTGGACACATCCTTCGCAAGTTACATTCACTTGACATGAATTAGTAATAATACTTGAATTCAGGTTGTAGTAGAGCGACAGATGAGGTAAGAAGCTTAAACTGTGACCATGAGCAGTTGTGGTTTATAGAAGACCCTGATATGGCTACACAAACAAGACCACAGAGACTCAAAGAAAGAAGTGTTACTTAAGATACCAGTGGAATGTATGCTGAGCTGAGAGAACTAACAGAATTGTAAATCCCAGACGGTTTGGTCTGGCTTTTTTTTTCCTCCCTTTTTTCTCGTGAAGTATATGTACTGCAAGGCAGCAAACAGAGCCATTCCCTGCTGTTATGCAAACGTGAAGGAGATACCGCAGTCAAATCCAGAACACACCCAGCTGTTCACACAGACCCGTGCTTACACAAGGACGACTGACAGCAAAGAGCCCTTGGGGATTTTGACTGTGACTGTGCTTTCCATACTTGAGTGCACCAACTGCACTCAAGCTACTCTCAGCCAGTGGCACAATGTGCACTCGGAGGGTGCGAGTCCGGAGGTTGAAAAATGCCTTGAGTCCGTTTGGAGTGGTTTCTGTGTGGTGTTTTTGTATTTGATCTCAACTAAACTGCGTCCAAGAAGGCCTGTTTTTGCAGGGCGATTCTGGGTCTGTAAAAAAGTCCTAATTTGTCTGAAATTATGTTGTTTACAAATTAAAGGCCTTTATAAGTGTTACATTCTCTTAAATGTCTTCTTTTAGGATACAGACAGGTGCTGTGGGCCTTTTCTCCAGGACAAATTTGACACTGAATAATACAGGGTCTCTTTTGTACACACAAAGACCTTTCAGTATGGGTGTCTTTATACTTGGTATATCATCACTGCAAATTTGGTCTTAAATTACAGTTAGATGTTCCAACCTCAGTCAGTCACAGTTGCTCTAGCTAATTACCTTCTTTAGGAGTCCTTGGTTTGCTGGATCAGATGCGTTGGTGCTAGGTGAGGGAGGAGGGGTAGCATTAGATACAGGTTAGAACTAAACTGTGCAGGAAAGTACATCTCCAAAAGGACAGTTGGTGACCGCTACTTTAGAATTAGGCTGTTTTTGTTACTGTGCTTTGAAGGTGTCTATATGCAAATTATCTCTGTTCTGATTGGCTGCCCTGTATCGTGGCTTATGCAAAAAGCATTGTGGGCTGAAACATTCCTTATAATTTCAGGGTGAATAGGCTGAATAGGCGCTTGTATGTAAATGCATTGGTCTTCTTGACATCACTAAAATAAAATCTAAACGGGCTGTTTTTACAGCGAAGTTTCCATATATGGACTGTGGAGCGAACAGTATGTGTTAAAACTTTAACAGTGTTTACATCAGACCCTTTTATCTAAAAAATGTTATATGGGCTCTTTAAGCCTCACGTTTTATACACGACACATTCTGCTGTTAGAGCGTTTTTACTGTGTTTTTGACTTTGTTAAGAATTAAGTAAACAGGAAAAAAGACAGCTGTATTTGTCAGCCTGGTCTGTTAAAGAACCTTCACACGTTGACTTGTTTATCAGCAGCTCCTTCCCATGATTCCATGCTCTGGTAAATATTTCATTAGATTACATTTCCTTGATGGTCTGGCAAAGATGTAAGGGCTTTGCTAGCTTTTGCATGGCATAACTTGCCTGCGGGTGGAAAAGAGCTTTAGCTGATAGAAATTAGTGGAGATATTTGAAATATTCCACGTTTGCACCAGTCCACTGAGGAGACGCTCATGTGCTTTGAGCCATGTGATTTTGGGGGTGGAAAAAAAAGTGTTGTTTTGACAGGAAGCTTCCAAAGTGCTACATGCTGCTCTTATTATGCCTCCAGTTAAGTTAAAAATAGAAAATGGTTTTACGACAGACGTCAGCAGGCCATCCCGTGTAATGAAAGCATTTATCTGTAACAACATGCCTGTGTTTTGCAAAAATAGAAGCAGTCTGTGACCAATACTACTGAACTTAATTTGAGCCCCAACTGGCTGCAGGGTCATAGCTTGGGGGACATTCTAGAAAGATGTCCACGTTTCCTGCTGTCAAGACATGATAGTGATTATTAGAACAGTCTGCTTCGTGGTACTTTTCTTGTGGGGCGCATGATGTATTTCTGTCTGTGTCTGGTGATGCTCACTCGGTTTTATAGCCAAACTTGCTTTGATGATGCAAATTCCTGACGTTGTTTCTGCAGTGTGGCACTGTTGAACTAGATGCCTGTAACGCTTTTGTACATAGTTTGAGGTTGAATATTTGACTGGTAACATAGATTTTCTAGTTACTATAAGTTAAAGAATCCAAAAAAGTTAGTGTTGCTAATAAGTGGAATCTAGTCTGGGGGTTTCTCTTCTTTCTTTAAGCATAAATGCTAAAGCATTTATTCCATTGAAGAATTTACTTGGAAGGGAAGTGATGGTGAAGCAGAGAAGAGAGACAGATGCAATTTAGGTCAGTTGAAGTGGTGACTGGCATGTAATACCTCAATAGAGTAAACTCATTTATTTACTGTATGGTCAGTTCTTGGAAACGTTTCAGATGTTTTCTTGGAAAGTCAATTGAGGGAGGATCATTCCAGTAAAAGATATGTTGTCACAGCCATCAAGGTGTGGTGAGTTTCCTTCTTTCTGAATGGTAATACATCTCAGGTGCTGATTGTAAAAGTAAATAGACGTTTAAGGAGCCAGAGCATGATTACAATCTCGCAAAAGCTTCATTACTTTTGGTTCGTTTCACCGAGATTTTGACGCAAGAAGGAAAAAAAAACACTCCTGCTTTAAGTAGGTTTAACAGGAACTCGTATATGTCTGGTGCTTCACAAGTTGGTTTTCATTTACAGAATGGAGCAGCCACAGAGCTGCGAGGGTTCATTTAGCATTAAATTTCCACATAAATCCTCAAATGAATGTTAATCCGAGCACTGTGTTGTGTGGAACAAAATGCGTCGGCATTCTGACTGATGGAACGAAGACAGACGAAAGCGACATTCTCGTGGTCTCAGGAAAAAGGAAAAATGGGGTGCGGTTCAAACAAAGGAAGTTCAACCAAATGAGTGACTGAGGCTGACAGATTTTATAACATTTTAGTGGTAGAGGTCCAAAATAACAATACAGCACGAATATCACAAGGAAGCAGTAAATGGAGGGGGGAGGGGGGAGGGGGTTTAAATACCATAAAAATAAAATGCTTAAATAAAACATACTTAAAGGATTCAGTTTGTTGGATGTTATATAATAGTAATAATTAAACACACTTGTTAATTTGAAGTCATACAAATGATATGGGGCTAATGTCATGCTGTTATACGTACCGAAAAACAGTGCCTAAATGCGCATCGTCAGTTGTCTTGAGTGATAGTACAGTTGCACAATCTAAATTTTGGCTAAACTGTGACAAAGTCAGTTTTCACAGAATTTAAGTAGCCAGGGCACGATTTCAGTCTCTTTAAAGCATCATTAGATTTGGTCAAATAAAGCAGCACACATGAAATATTACTGAAGCATTTGAATTTATAAATTATAAATTTATATCTTTACTAACATCTTAACACTAGGGGTAGGCAATGTGGTAAAAATGTATCATACTTAAAGACAGTTTCGCTATAAATGATATGTATCATGCTATTTCTTTTTTCTGAGGTTTGATAAGTTGGAAGCAGCAGAACAAGTGTCACATTTAAAATTACTATCCAAGACTAAGTACATTGTTTTTTATAGACCCTTTCTATACAGTGCTGCATTAAATTCCATTAAACAAGACTAACTGGGCCCTCTTTGCAACATGCAGTTGTTTAGTGTTATTTGAGTACCAGTTAGGGATGGGTATTGAGAACCAGTACAAAATTGGTACCAGTTCCAGACTGGTCAGCATCAAAATATCGATAAGCTCCTGGATAAACGGTGCTGCTTTCCCTATTTATGTAAAGTTAATTCGTCCTACATAGCATGCATTTTCAAATGGTAGGTGGTAGATTGGTTCGCACAGCTCTGTGACAAAAGCGTTCGAATGCCTGTGCTGAGTGTCATTCTGTGCTCTCTAATCATGGCTGAAAGGATAAGATGCTGAAATGTGTGGGCTCACTTTACTAATTTAATGATAATGCAGCTAAATGCAGCACATGTAAAACAGTAGTTGCGTGTAAAGGAGGTGTTACTGACCAGTTTTCAACCAGCTAACAAAACACTTAGAAATACGACATTCTGAAGCAGGGCAGCATTTCTGCATCTATGTCCTCAGAATTGCATTGCCTATCGAAATGTACTACCGTAGCACGTATTTATAGGTAGTTAAAGGTAGTTCCCTACATATGACTGTAGGTAGAACCGTCTGATAGTTTAAATCACCTTATCAGAAATCCTATCAGCATTAAACTACAAAGCTGAAGTCAGCTTCTCATTCGCCAGATTCTTGTTCAAATTTTCCTGTTCCACCTTAGTCAAACCAGAAGCTGGCAGATAGGAGGCCAAATTCAGCCTCATTTTAAAACTAGAGGTAGGAAAGTTTAATGGTCTAAATGTCCTTATCAGAAAATGTTTCCAGCATTAAAATAATAACTAGGATATTTTGATAGCCTAAATCAGCTTATCCAGGGGAAGTAGTATCATTAAGCTGTATTGAATTAACATTCAGTAGCTAGCATAGCATAAATCACTAATTGCTAGGTAGCCTAAGTTTGAACTGAGTGTGAGCTTTCCTGACCACCAGGAGTAGCTAATTTTGTATTATTGAGTATAATTTTGTATTGTTAATATTTTCAACTGTAGGGAGATGAACACAGCCTTTTCACATCTTTTACTATTTTTTAATCTTTCTGTGTCACGTCTTTATTTTTTGCACCAAATTATGGAGCACAGTATCAATAAAAGTATCAATATGTAACCGTATCGATAAAATCCTAACGATACCCATCCCTAGTACCAGATATATCCACCATATGCTCAGAATAGCATTTTCGGCATCACCAGAACAATAAATACTGTAATGCTGGCCACCTCTACTCAACTCGTTAATTAAAGCTCTTAACAGTCTCTTCACCTTGAAACACTGGTTTATTATACTGGAACATTAAGCCAAATATAAATGTGTACAAATGACTGGCTGGTGATTCACTTGCTAAAAGCACCTGTTTTTGTCTTATGAGCCTTCACCGGTTGCTGGGTAACAGTTACGTCCTGTTCTTTGTTTTTGGCACACAACGAAGGTCACCAAAGCTCCTGTACAGCTCCATTTCTAGCTCTTTGTCAGTGATTAATGCTGGCAAGAGGAAGCAGCGGCATGAGTAAATCTTTCAGTCAGCTAACATATTTATTATGATTTTTGAGGATAAGGAAAAGTCCTTGGTTCACATGACAAAGACACAGTACACAGTACAAATGTCCTGCACAGTTGTACTTTCCTTCATGTTTACAATAAGCAAGGCCATGACAGACATAGAAACAAAATGCTGATGAGAAAACTTTCAAAATGCACCAGATAGAAGAGATGCTGTAAAGATAATTGATTACTGCAGTCACAATAGAAGAAAGGGCTGGTTTTCTGGACACACATTAAGTCACATCATGAGTAGGAATTCTGCCCTGAAAATCTGTCTGGAAAATCAGCCCACTATGTCCACAGGCAGAAACAACACTTCTCGCTAATAGTGTGAAGCGTACGTGCCTGCAGGTCAAACACTTGTTCCAGGAGAAAGTTTCCTGTGCCCACTTCCTTTACTCAGGATTACACAACACTATTGAATACTACTGAATAGCACAAATACCAGTGAGCAAATAGTGGGGAAAAAGAAAAAGACATTTCTCCCATAGTCTGTCTATTTTTATAAACAAAAAACACAAATCTATCGAAAAGAGTTTTCATTTAATAAACATTTTCAGGCCTGTGTTAGTTTAATAATAGCAGAACACTGATTTGCTTTTTTATTAGCGTCTCCTCAGGCACAGAAATGGATTCATTGGATTGTGACAGCATAAATCATTAACAATGTGCTGACGCTCTCATGCAAGTCATTCTTATTCACTGTGGGCACAGGAGCAGCATGTCATGACTATGCACCAGTTAGCTGAATAAAGTAAATATACTTTAATGTACTGCAGTAGCATTTATCTTCTTAAATCTGCAACAAACAGATACAGAGATACCTGAAAATCATTTAATCACTGACGTTTTTCAAGCCAAACTGAACTTACCGGCACCCTCAATGTTTGAGTGGGGCAGTTCTGATTTAAGATCAAATATGATTGATACAAATATCATGTTTTATAAAGCCAAAAGTAAGGGTACTGTAAATTCAGTGTCTGTACTATGTTAGTATGCCATATCTCGCAAATAATTTCTTTCCAAACACGCATAGCAGCAACAAAGGGAACCCCCCCAACATACTTTCACACAAATGTAATGCTAAAGGAGATTAGCAACCTCAGGTTACGAATGCAACAGTTTTCATACAGTAAAAACGCACAGTTAATGGTTAGATAAATCTACAATGCTGGAAGGTTAATATATTATAGTTATTAAATCAATAATGCTTTTATCAAGTGTTGCTAAAAATAAACCATTTCTGAGCAATGACTTTCATACACTATATACAGACAATGATATATCTTTCCAAAAAGTCACTCTTAGAAAATAAACATATCTGTTTTAACAAACTATAATCAAATATGCCTGTGAAAGCTTTGTCGGCCTCTATATATCTCAGTCTTATATAATCTATTCTCATAAGTAAAATATTTGGAAATAATTTGGTCATTCAAGTCATCACTTACTTATATTACTTATATTGGGATAAACCTTCTGATATACTTGCGATATTGAGGTTTAGCTGATGTTTAGCTGAATACATGCATTAAAGTATTTGAAGTTGTTTGCGATCCAGTCCCAAGGGACTTAACACAAAAGAGGTCAAAGTAGGAATTCGAAGCTGCGTCTTGCAGGAATATTGGACCACATTCAAAACTACAAGGGAACATTCCACATCAAAGGTTTGATTTTTCTGTGAGGCTTTCAGAGACTGTGGCCATAAAAACAGAGTGCAATAATTGGGACATTCAAGGGACGGATAATCAGTAAGGGGTGGCTTCAGTCTACACAAGCTCACCCACACAGACATCGTATACAACTCTTGATTTCATCACGTGGTATCCTGAAGGTGGAAAGGATCCAATTAATGTAACTTTCAGGAATGGTAAAGTCAGAAGGTTTGGGAGATCCTGGGAGAACAGAGAAATACATTGAGAAATTGTGATTTTTCACTTGCGTGGACTCCTTTGATGAGCGTCAGAGGACCAAAGATTCTGCCTCTGGCAAAAGTCTGAGACCAGTCAGGAACAAATCTTAGAATCTGCTGTCAACTTCAGTCAAACTAAAACCACTCAAACTGCCAAAATGGAAAATCACACATGGCTCACTCAAGCTAGTAAGACACAAAAAGTCCACAACATGTCAAAAATGGAACAAGAAGGAAGGCGGGAATCACTTGCAGATGAAATGTCCTCAATAGCGAGTGGAGTTGACAAAGAAACTACACCAACGATGCCAGTGTTCACTGCTGTGAATTCACCTGTGAGGAGGAAAAAAAAACACCTTTAATTATCAAGTTTCAAGTACAACAATAAATGCTGTTCAACTGTTATTCAACTGCACTTCATGTCTACTAATTAAAAACACTTAATCATTCGGCAAAAAAAAAACAAGTCTACACAATTTCCCACTTACCCCAGATGTGGTCAATCAGCTGAGATGTGTTGGTGTCCAAATTTTGTTTCTCTAGTGTAGGCTAATGTTGATAACAAATTTTAAAAGTAAATAGTCACCCAAATCTTTTCCATAAATACACCCCCCCCAAATTTCTCTTAAACTACATCCAGGTCTTCATTAAGGTCGTGCAGACTTGTCGATGTGGTTTAGTGGTATAACTTACTGTGAGCTATAAAACTGAACAAAACCATGTAGCTGAACACTGCAGGTGGCCACTTTAGTTCACAGTAAGCTGTACTCTGCCCTTAACCACACTGTCAAGTCTGCGCAACTTTAATGAAGCCCTGGAGGCAGTTTCAGTGGGATGAGAGACGTTTTGGAGATGTATTTACTGAAATGATTTTAGTGACTATTGACTTCTAGTATTTGTTAGCAACATTAGCCTCACTGCTCCAGTATTAATCTACAGAAACAAAATTCGAACACCGAACATATCTTGGCTGATTCTTATGTTCCCATGTTTTCCCATATTTTATATTAATCTGGTGCACTTAAAGGAAAATTCCACCGATTTTTTTAAAAAATGTCTGCATAATTCAGTGGTTACAATGTAAATAAAGTCATTCAGAGTGATTTGACGCAAAATGCTCCATTCTAGAGAAATCAACCAACTCTGATTTCTTTACAGAGGTGGTGACAGGAACCAGCGGTCACAATGTCAACAACACAAATATATCCATTTTATTTACTATCCAAAATCACCAGCGTACCTACACGTCTTCTGAGTTTCATATGTAATGCTGATCATGGTAAAATAGTGGTAAATGAAAAAAATACATTTCCTTTGGATGCTGTTTAGCCTTACAACACCCTGCTGGTACCTCTCCACCATGAATAGATAATCTATACTTTTTACACCAAAACATTCTTAAACCTTACATAAAACAATGTTAGGCATCAGGTAGCGTTTTTTGATTTCACTTTTAGAGGCATTAAACACTTCAGCACCACTGTCACCACCACTGTGAACAACTCTGATTTGGCAAGTTTCGCTAGAACAGAGCATTTAAAACCACTCTAAATTACTTTGTTTACATTACAATAATTGAGTTATGCAGACATTTTGAAAAATCAGTGTAATTCCCCTTTAAGCAGGGAAGCACAAAAATGTGCAGGGCAGTGTATCTCCAGATATTCAGACTGAGAATTCTCTGAGCTGCTCTGGGGCTGTGATTTTTTTTTTTTTCCTGATGAAACTGGGCACTCTGCAAAGTTGTAAATGTCAGGCAAACAGGACACCAGGTCTTGGTCAGAGGAAGCTGGCTCTACGTCAAAGAACAATTGAAAGGGCGGAAGGGAGAAGCCGACTGTCAACATTCCGAACAAAGCATGTATTTCACTGTACAACTTGGGAGTCTGCTAACTCCTAATTATATTATATTATCACGCTACTTATTGTTAGCTCTGTTTTAAAATATGTTAGTGGTATTACAGTAACGAGTGAAAACATGCTGTACTTGGATGTTACTTCCATGATATGTACGCAAGAACAGGCAAGGAAATCCATCAGTACACATTTAGAAGAAAATCCTATTTGAATTCCTGACTGTTATGCACTACAAATGCACTACAGTGTGTCTACAAACCTTGACCCTGGCAATTCTTCAGAGATAGAAAATAATCACATGGTTCTAACTTATATAGTCAGTAAGTGTTGTTTATCAAAGACTGATAACTAACCTTTGTAGGTCTATATAAAGTTAAGAATAAAGAGAGAGCAAACTGCATGAAAAGTTTTCCCACACAAACTGGCTATTACGAAGAGAACAGCTTAAAATCAATCTTCTATGAGTTAAAATAGGTAAGAACATGGCACTCAGAGTTTGACATCGGCTACTGCGTGCCCCTGGCCACCAAAAATGCAGAGCTAGTGGTCACTTGCCTTGGAGAGTGCCTTTTTTGTTTTTCCCTCTTCTAATGAAGCATCAGACTGCTTACATTTTGACAACTGTAACAACCGTGACAGGTAATGTAATGGCCATGTTCCTATTTGTGTGATATTTTCACTAAATATGTCGACACCTGACTGGGTTTTGATACTGAAGCATGTTTTTTAAATTGTAAATACAATGTACATATGATTAACATGTTTCTATAATTTGGCCAATAATGATTAATTTTGGCCACAAAATTAACTGGCTTGGTGGCCCAAGTGATCAAGACAAATCCAACCCTGTTGGCACCAAATACTGACTTTTTTAAAAAAAAAAATCAGTTAAATACTGAACAGTAAAGGCTTCATCAACTGTGAGCCTATAAATGAGTTATATCTGGATACCAGAGGAGAGCAGCACACAACCTAACACATTTTGGTTTTAGCTAAATAATTTTAAAACCTGCACATCTCTGCTACAAATGGAAATGTAAACTGTGTTTCCAACATTACCATTCGCAAAAAATTCAGCCTAAAGCGTTGAGTGCAAAGGTTGCAAACAGCTACAGTAGTTGTTGTAATCACTATAAAAGTCAGATAACATGATGCAAAACATAATTAAATGAAAATAATTCTATGATTTTTTTAACAGTGTGAGTTTTCCAACATAAATATATAAAAGTATATGCATGAACACAAATAACATCAGTGAAAGAGTCTGTGTCAAACATGGCTAACATGTAATGTAAGAACTAATATCAGAATGATAACTTCCCCACAGCAGGCTGATTGGCTCTTTCTCATAAAGGGTGGGACTTTCTCCACAATGCCCTGTTAGGTGTTACGAGCTTTCCATTCATTTTTCAACCAGTGGCTGTCTCCTCCTTCATAATGTCTCTGGTCTTACTAGTATACTGCTACTAGAATATCAGACCATCTTAAATTGCCTGACTAAAATTTAGACTAATTCTGCCTTTATTAACATGTCACCGTCAGAAACAGCTGTGTGGGTTTATTTTACTGGAGGACATTGCTTTTGCTCAGAAAATAAACTAAAAGGTTTTATGCCTTTGTTCAAGTTGACTTTTGACTTTTTCATTGGATCAAATTACGATTAAACATTTCATCACCTCCTCATCATGTGTGCTACCGCAGCTAATTTTTACCTCTCTCCCAGTTCTTTTTCTTCTTCTGTAGTTTAACAGGTGATGATGTTCCCACACTAAGCTGTTACTCTTTCTCACCTGTACTTGACATCGAAAAGAGTCGAGTCGTCGTCCTCGTCGTTCTCTTCGTTTAACGGCGCCATCTCCACACGCTCGGCAGGAGTGGTAATGATGTCATACTTTCTCGTTTTTCTGATCTTCTTTCCAGACCTAAGACAAATACAGAGCGTCAGCATTACTGCCATAATGTTCGGGTGATGTTCACTAGAAACTCAGCACTAAACTGAACAGTTGGCTCCCTCACACTCTAATCGCACAGGCGGATTGAGGGGATTAGGCCTGTGTTTAAACAGCAATGACCTCCATATGCACAAAAACCATGACGATCACCAATAATGACCAGTAATACATGATTCATAGGTCAGGTAGAAATTTGTGTATTATGAGCCTGTTTGATATCGCCTTTCAGCTGTGACACAATTTTCAATTACATGTGACAACAAAAAGAAACATCTGCTACCATTACACACCACGCATGTTCATGATTACTAGGTACAATGAGACATCAGGTAATACAGAACAGTAAGTTAGTTAATATGAGACTGATATACCCTCAATGATAAAACTATATTTTATTAATTTTCCCACTAATTACTTTTTTCATTTGGCCTATTTACATTATTTCCTTTTGTTCTGTTGGGATAAATCTGACCTCTATTTTCTAACCGTTTTCTGATGCTCTTAACATCAGTTGCACTAGCTCCTCTCATAGGTTTTTCCACTGTATGATCAGAGTGTCTCTGTTTACTTGTAAACTTGTTGTACTTGTATCATAAATCCACTGTTCAGTTCCTCCAAGTGTTCTTCGTTGTGCACTCTGGGAGTTTTTCCTGCCACTCTGACCCTCGCCTTTAGTAGGGGTCTCTACCAAGATTCCTGTATAGCTGCTTTGGAGAATATTACTGAATTGCCCCGATCTGCTTTAATGAGGAAACATTACACAAAATTTGTAATAAAGACAAGTTTCTCAAGTTCCTCCTTTTACCTGATGGCCCAAAATACCTGAATCCATTTGACACTTTTAAAAAAATTATGGTTCTTCAAGGGCTCTTTAGTAAAGGGAATATATAGAACCCTGTATAGAACCATTTCATGTTCAAATAGTTCTTTGCATGGTGAAATGGTTCTTCAGGCTGATGGAGAATGTGTTGTATATGGTTGTATATAGCACCACAATGGGTTATTCTATCATTACAAGCTTGACATCATGACAACAGCAGAACCCTTTTTGGTGCCATATAGAACCAAAAAGATGTCGTATAGAGAACCATATATAACATATTCTCCATCAATCTGAAGTTCTATACAGAACTCATGGTTCTAAATAGAACCATTCCCTTTACCAATGAACTGTTGAAGAACCCTGTTTTTAAGAGTGTAGCCTACACTCAGCATGTAGTACCTCAGCAGCTTAAAGGATAAAATTATAGTGAAGATTCACGTATTATGGGACATCAGATAACACGGTGTTATAATGCGGGATATTAAATCAGAGCTATTATTTTTGCTCAGTTTTCCGGTTAAAAATAATTTTAAAAACATATTCGACTGTGCATTTTAAAGTAAATCCTTTTGGAAATACACTAGCAATCATCATTTGCCTTTATTAAGCTACCTGATGGCCCAGAACACCTGAATCCTTTCTACTGCCCTTTACCAAGCACCCCTCAAAAGGCTTCAAGCCCACCTGTACACTTTAACGACGAGGCACGTGATGAGCAGCACCGTCAAAACACAGATGAAAATAACAACGTTTTTGATGGTTGGAAGGTCCCTCAAGATGGTAGAAATGCGCGAGCCCACCTCGGAGTCTGTGTCGTTGTGTGTCGTGTGTTCCTCCTGTACGGAAACTGTGGAGTTCAGCTGGGTGGTCGCTGAGGACGGGAGCGCGCGCCGCTCTCCGCCGCTCTCCCACGCCCCCACAACAAGCACGGCCAGCAGCAAGAGATAACGGGCTGACACGTTCATTTTTCCCCCTAACCCTCAAAATGACCGAGCAGTTGAAAGCGAAGGCGGCCTAAGCCCTGCGGTGAGGAGCGGGCAGCGCGAGCCTCCAGACTGACAGCATATGGAAAGCGCAGTGCATGTTCTCCGCTGCAGAATCCCGCTGTTTGGTCCGCTTCACTGTCGCCCATCAAAAACCTCTCCGTGTCTGTTTTACTGTCAGACTACAGTCCGTTTTACTGAAGTCAGGTGAGGTCTGAGTGCGCCCTGTCTCGTCTCTCACACTCCCCCGCTGGAGGTTGTAGGACTGTGTGTCCTAGAAGGAAACGAGGATGGATTATGTCCCCACCCGGATCAGTTCCGGGAGGGACCACAGCAAGGATGTCCGACTCGTGAACCGATTCACAAGTCCAACTGAATCTAAGTTTTTTTTATTAGCATTTACTGATTCCACGGAGTATTTACGTCCATGTAAAGGCTGGAGACTTATAGCTAAAATTAATAGTAATCGTTTATAATTTAACCTTGTAAAATCCCTGATAGCGAGTATGTATCGGTCCGCTGGCTCGACAAAGTCGGCACCCCGCTGACTCTGACACTGCTGGTCCACCCTCGGACCACCCAACTTACTGTCCTGCATACAAACTAGTTTTTAATCTCCTCAAACAGATTTAAAACGCATACAATGCCTTTCTTTTGGAAAATAAACTAAGACATATATAGCAAACAGTTGAGAGACAAAATGAATGACTAGGCCTAACATGGCAATGTTCATGCTGATCCTCTGCGGAAACATTAAAAGGCAGAAATGAAGTAAAAAGTAAGTAAATTGGGCTGAAAGTGGAAAATGAGCGCTGAAAAGTGACATTGTCTAGCTAATGTCTAACCACCTGAGGGCCACTTAAAAAATGCCGAGCAAAAGGTCAGTGGGCCACAAAGGTCCGGCCCGCTGTTATCTTACTGTCTGGGATCACAACATAAAACACAAACGCTGTAAACAAGACGAGTAACGGTCTTCAACTCACGTTTTCTCTGTAAGGCCTGACTTCTTTCTGTTGTTAGTGCTTTGTGGATTCGGAGTCTACGTTAATTAGTAGAAGAAATGAGCAGATTCACTCGCTGAATCGAATCTCATCGTACATGGAGGAGATGAAAGTGAAGGTGAAACACTTGAATCGTTGAAAAAGACGTTCGATTAATTCAAACAGACGATTCGAAAGAATCGGTTCTGTGAACTGAATCCAACTTCCCGTCACTTAGGGAGACCGGTGGGCTGGCTATGTCTGTTGTCACGACCACCGTTTGCATACATGTATTTTAGTCACGGCTTCAATGTGTTCAGGTTAGAGAAAATTTTCAGGTGAGCAAGTCAGTCTTGCACTAATTGTTGGTTTGCAATTCTCACAAAAAGGCTGTAAAATAGAACATAGACTGGAGATTTTAGACTGTTTGTCTCAACTATAGGCCAACTGTTTCTGCTACTGGACAGGTTTTGAAATGCACTGTTGGATTGCATCTCCAGCCAGTGGCATAATTAGGATCTCATGGGCCTTAGTGTGGGGAAAAATGTATGCCTTATACTAAAATTAAATTACTGAAAAAAATGACAGTGTGTTATGTATTTTTTGCTCGCTTATTCTCTATTATGTCTCAGACAAGTTGATGCTTTCAAGGCATGCCACTCCACTCACTAACATCTAATGTTAACCTAAATGTTTGTGATGGATCCAGCTGAAAAGATTACCGTGGATGAGATGTATTATCAGTAAGAGATAGTAACTAGGTGTCTACCTGTGCAGTGTTGATGGAAGCTAACTGGTGAAGTATGTTTTATGTAATTTTATTTTTTAATTATTTTGAGAGTCATGGCTGTACATTTGTGTCAATATCCATATGAGGGGTCCAATAAAGCCATGGGATAAGAGTAACTGCAAATACACCTGATTCCCTTCCACTTTCTATTCTTGTTAGGTCTTCTGGAAATAGGAAATAAGATGAGGCTGGATTAGGCATTACTATCCTCGTGACACACTGAGTTGCTTAACTCTGTTTCTCTGTTACACTGTTACTTTAAAGGGGCATTTCTATCTAAAACTAGCATTTAACATGTTATTTTTTATGTTACATAATATTCTGTAGTGCAAGATTCCACCCCTCAGCCTCGTCAGGTTGACACAACTCATGGTTTTGTATAATTTTCATGTTTGTGCCCATTAACATTCTTTCACTACAATACCCAGCATGTATCCCTGTAGAACCATAAAGAAGCTAAAAAAACTTCTGTCGTGCTAGCTAACATTAGCTTAAAAACCTCAGCTGGATGTTAAACATTTTAAAACTTTGTTAAAGAAATAATTCACTTGAAGGATCAGTCAGCAAGCAAAACAAACAAGTTTCAAACAGCCCACCCCCAAGTATCCACCCAAAAGCACTTAGTAGTCTTTCAAAACTTTTTCCACTTTCAAAATGCATCATCAAAAGGGGGTTTCCTTAGTTTTTTCCTAGAAATCCCATTTTATAGGCTACTGTGGCACCACTGTGAGAGGCGAGTTATGTTTAGCTATGCTTACAACAGATGTAGCGTTGATTATGTTCTTCACTTTGGCCGGAGTGTCCCTTTTAATAAAGAGTAGACATCAGTTGTCTTCTTGGTTCTCAACAGCTAGAGTTTATCTGTTTTGATAAAGTGTAGACAATTCATGGCTTTGTAGCAGGTCAGAGCTGAGGTCACTGAGTTCAGAAAAAAAGGGTAGAATTGTGTTGTAAGAAAGCTGCTGCTTTGTGTTAACCTGTTAAATCCTTAAGGGTCTGTTTGTGGGACGTTCCTCACTCTCATTACTACATAAGTACTTCTCTGTTTCATAGCAGTAACTGAATGGTTGATGCCATAATATAAATGAATAATAAAGTCTTAATAACTGAAGAATATGATTGCGGGTTACAATTTTTCTGTTCAAAAATGCACCGATAGAGGTGTCGCTAGAGTGTGGTATACTACACAGTTTCTCAGGACATCCAATAGTAATGTTTTGATTTATAAAAACTAATATTACCTGGCCAATTTATCAATAATATGACACAGTTTGTTTTGACTATACTGTTTTATTCTGTTTTCTTCTCTCAAAAGACTAGATTATTTTTCTCTTATTACACCAAAGAACATTAACCAGACAGAAATGCCCTTAAGTTTTTATGTATTTTTACCTTATTTTTCAACTCTAGAAAAAAAACTAATGTATAAAAACATTTTAAAAACATTGTCTTTTTTTAATGTCTAGAGAACTCTGAGGACAAAATTACACAGTGCTTTGTAAGTCAGTAGCAGCCCTTTAAAAGGAATTCTGAGAGCAGCCTGTAACCAGTGGAGAGAGGCCAAAAAGAGGAGAAGAACGTAACGAAATAAAGCACTTAGCTTATAAAACAAGCCTACTGTCTGGCCAACTTTTTAAAGATGACCTGAATTTAGGCGCTCATGATTCAGACCACGCTGTCTGGCTATGTACTTGCCAGAAAGGTTGAAATATCTCAGCCTTTAACCTTAAAAATACCAGTCTTATTATTCAATAACTACATAGACTATAATGCAAACTTGGCTAAGCTATTCCTAAGTTATAGAAATATATAATAAAAGTTTGACATTACATGGCCGAAGGTTTATGGACATCCCTAGACTGGCAGTAGAACAGGTTGTACTGTAGAGCTACTCTAAGGTCATATAACAATCATCTGTCCTGGTCACAACACTCACTACCAAGTTCTGAACTGCCTTTAGATGCAACATCAGCACAAATGCATGAAAAGTTTGCCGGGATCCTCATGGATTGGGTTTCCATGCCGACTGGGGAGGCTGAGCAGCTGCACACAAGCCTAAGAACACCATGTGCCAGGTGTTCAGCTGGAGTGGGGTAAAGCACACTACTACTGGACTGGAGCAGAGGAAATGCGTTCTTTGGAGAGTTGAATCATGTTTCACCATCTGACGGACGAATCTGGGCTTGGCAGAATCCAGGAGAATGCTGCCTTGTGCCAACTGTGAAAATTTGGTGGAAGATGGAGATGATAGTCAGAGGATCGTTACTCACAGTAAAGGGAAATCTTAATGCTGCATCAAAGTCATTTCCAATTTCAGCATGACAATGCCCTCATGCACAAATTATAAAGAAATGTGAGAATAAAAGAAATGGTTTGCTGAATTTGGTGGAGAAGAACCTGGCTGGCCTGCACAAAGCCTTGACCTCAGCCTCCATCCAACACTATTGGGATGAACTGAAATGACAAGTGTGAGCCCGATCTCATCGCCCAACATCAGTGCCCAAAGTCCCTAATGCTCTTGTGGCTAAATGGAAGTCAGTCTCTGTAGCCATGTTCCAAAATTCTTCTCCTCCGCACCTCTCTGTAGCCTGTCAAACGCGTGGCTTTGTTCTCTGATCTGCAGATTAAAATGCGGTTGTTTGCTCTTTCACCACATGATGGTGCTGTCTACTCGTTTAGCCTAAACCTCATGCTTCTGCAAGTCCAGAAGACTCAGCTGCTGCTGGGGGCGCTGTCAGCAACATACTCATTATCTACATCTACTACTAGAATTCTGTTAGAAATGCAGAGAACAGTTGCAGTAGAATAGTTAACACCACCTATCTGCCTGATCCCTGTTTTGCCCTGTGACAAGCCACATGTTAATATTACTAAAGAGGGCCTTTCAGTTCTTTAAAATCTACTCAGGTTGTCAGGCTATTGGCATTTCCATGTGGGCTGTCAACTCTGTCAATAATTGATATAATATTCAAATAATACTCCCATGGAATAAAGAAATTTATTGTAGTAGAGTAACCTCTGTGATCAGTCAGGTGTACTGGAGCAGGGAAAAAGCAAAAATATTAAGGCAGCAGCAAAGGCCCTGCTTATTTTACCCTCATAATGACTGTTTCATGTTGAAACTTTAGCCTTGAGATTAGGATAGAAGATTACAACTAGAAACGTACTGTTACATGACTGGATCAGGAATAACTACTGAGATGGTGGACATATCTCCCATCACTGTGGTCCGGCATGAATATATAAAGCCAGTTGTTGTTTATATTTTTATTTTTTCTGTCTGCAGTCTTGCTTATTGTGTCAACCAGAGAATATAGAACACTCCATTATAGTTGTCACATAGTAAGAAAAAAACAAAAACGGGAAAAAAAGAAGTGAGGCAACCCTGCTTAACATGTCTAACTCTGGCTCAAATTTGTAATAGACTCCCAACAGCAGACTGTGCAATCCAGAAATATGCCCAATACTTTGTAGCTTCTTAGTCTTATTGGTCTCTAGATAGGCAAGTCTTTCAAGGGCAAAGATATAT